TAAGTACTTCCTTCCTCTCTCTCTCTCTCTCTCTCTCTCTCTCTCTCATAGAACCTATATGAATGCCAATTAAAAGGTTCAAGCTGGTGACTCAGAAAGCTATAACCACCCTCTTACAGAAGTAAAATTAGTATATGGAGCAATGGAAGCAACAAAGAATTTCTAGCCATAACATGCATGGGTACATACATATGCAATGCAGTATTTCAGCAATATGTGTTTTACACTTACTATAAGAATGGAGGTGGATTGCATTAAATAAGCAGCCAGCATAAAACTTTTCCACGTCTTATCATGAATCTTGAACCTATAGAATGGAGGAACAGGATTCATGTAGCCAACCCCAAATAATTGGGATAAGGTTTGGATGATGATGATAATGGCTTATACACACACGCATGTATAAAAACGAATCACGTAATACAAAGTATATGTGATTGATGTACCTGCGGATTCAATATGCTAAATCTTCGGACGATATCATCCTGTCACAATGGAAAACAGAACTGGAATTAGAACCCCTAACACTTGCCTGATACTACATTGACCTATACCAACTTGAACCACAATGATATAAGTCAAAAGGCATGATTGTAATCAACCAAATAAAAATTATACTTAAAGTAGTATAATTCTACTTGAATGCATCAACAAAACAAAACAAAAAAAGTTTATACTTAGACTAATGGAAATGATGGAAACAACTAGGAAAAGTATCGCAAAACCAATTATTCCAAACACATCAGAGTCAGTGCATTACAATGTTTCAAGTTCAATACGAAACGAAGTCAAAAGCTACCACCTCTAAGATGCCCGGATTTTGCATTACAATACCAACAACCCGCCTCATCAAAGACTTATACATGACAGAGTCAGTGCCTCCATCCCCATTTAGCCACGGCAATATTGGCCAAAACCCATTTGAAGAAGCCAATGCATTATCAGCTCCATCAGTTTGATTAGGTTCAGTGGAGGTTTCAACATCTGGTTCAAGTTCATCCAAGACGATAACTGTACGTCCATCAGAGAGATTCAAATAGATGTTCTGATTTGAAACATGAGGCCTGTCAACGTTCTCTTTAGAGGTTGTCTCAGAGCTTTGTCCATCCATGGTCATGGGATTGGAGTTGGGAACAGATATGGTGTTTGGAATATTAGGAGATATGGGGTGGAGAGAATACTTAGCACCAAAACTTGAAGCAAGCACTCGAATGTGATCAAAAGCATTAACCTGCATGCAGTAACAATAATCAGAGATTAGTTTAGAACAAGGACATGATCTGATTGCATTATTCATGCTCAGTTCATGGAAGATAGTATACAGAAACCACATTTAAACAATAATAACTGATTCCCACCATGTTAAGTCATCTAAATAGACAGCTAGACGAGCCATTGATTCAAACACATGAAGAAGATGCATGTAGCTATTCTACTGTGAGAATAAGTGTGGGTTTTCTGAGATGGTTAAAGTATACGGAAATCATAGCGGCAATGCAAGTTTGAAACTTGCGTCCTGCATCATCAACTATAATAAAAGCTTTCTAATAAGCATAGCTCAAACTGGGACCTAGTCCAACAGTTTAACGACCAGCTGAGACCCAACTTTGTTTTGGTTCTTTCTTCTGCGTGTTAAATTAAGCCTTAACCAGGAACCTGGTCAGGTCTAGTTTCCATAGACATTGATTAGCATACAATGGTTACGAGTGACTGGGATTGATAGACTACTGCTTTTAGAAATTCAGAGAAGAGATGACAATGAAGCCCCCAGCATTTACTTTCAAACCCTAACTTTAAAGAAGAATGAATATGGCTTAAAAACTTAGAATTTGTGGAATTCCTCAGCATGCATATTCAACATATCAATGATCCAACCATCAAATGTCAAAGGTTTTGCCCCTCAGTTCACCGAATAACAATAACCATTCACCCGAAAATTCAATGACTTGGTTAACTAATGATAAACATTTGCTAACATAGATCTAGTTCTCACTTATTGATAAGTAACTTTACAAAACTTCAATACAGGAAAAAAGATCGTAAGTAACTAGTAGGAAACTTTAATATGACAAGTAAAATCAAGTATCAAAAATCCAATAGAATTAAGGCCTCACTAGGTCATACCTTTACAACTAGCCTGTGTACTTGTAGCACATCCAAGATCACCTGAGTTATCTTTGTGCCTGACCAAGGAAAGAAAAAATCATAAAACATATCAAATGTATGAATCATGATCAGACCATTAGGAAAGGGTTCTTAGTAATCTTTTAACAGCAATAAAAGAGAACCTGAGAACAGGAATATATATCCTACCACCATCACTTATAAGCTGATCAACTTCTCCCAAATCCAATCCATCCTCACCAGCTTTATGAATGGAAAAATAAACGGTTTCAAATGTTTTAGGATCCATGGGACCACATTCAGGTTGAGAAGAAACCAGTGAAGATAACAGTTTGGCACATTTGGCCATTGAGTCCCATAATGGCTCATTAGAAGGAAGCTCTTCAGTAAAAGCACCAGATCTAAAACAAGACCCTGAAAAGGATTGCTCGTTCTCGACGTGCATGGAAGAACTCTCCTGTTTCGCACTGTCCAGACAAAATTCTAGAGATTCCACAGCTGGAATCATCACACTGTTCAGGACTACCTTAATGCCAGGAAATCCTTTCTCTCGGCGAAGTTCACCTAGCTTTTTGGATGCAAGTTTGAGCTTCTTAAACCTTCCGCTATCAGATGGTGTTTCCCCTTTTGATTTTCTTTTCAAAGCACGCATCCCTTCAGCATCTCCTACACCTTTGTTCGGCAGTTTTGGGAAAATGAAGAATTCCCCAGAGGAAACAAGGGCACAAAGGTGGAAAACCTCACCACAATGCATATCAGAAGGGAGATTAACCCCTTCCTGCAAAAGATCTTCTTTTCTCTCACTAACCCAGGATGCAAATTTGGCTGACCTTTGTCCCGTACTGACTGGAAAGGGAGAAGAAGAGGCATCTTGGAAGAACTTCGGAGAGAGCACAAACGGTCGAATGCCACGGCCAGGGACCTGCTTATGAAATGGAACAGTTATAAAACGTACAGAGCATAATGAACTATAGAGATCACTCCTATTGTAATGATGTACAGATAACTACCACCATCATTAATAATTTACGAGACCATACATCAATAACAGTAGTTTTCGCATCAGCACAAACAAATCGGAAAAGCAGGCATTACAGCTAGATAATTCAATGCATTGGGGTTATTATAAATCTAGAATTTATATGCTCGAGGAAAAATGCAGTTTTATTAGAATATGTCCTTTTTCTTTTTTTGCTAAGTTATTGCATAAGTCAAATCCATGCACTATTGCATTTGAAAGTATGGGGAATGCATACCACAAACTTCTGTGCTTTGAGGTAATTGAAGGCAGCAAAAATATCTTTTTCGTTGAAGCGCCGTAATGAATCCACTAGCAAATTAGGAACCTCAGTTGTGGCTGAGGAATTCAAGAAGACTAGCTTTATGAGCTCCACAGCATTGGCAACTGCCAACGATACACATTCTGACTTTTTGGCTGGAATCTCTTGTTTGTGCAAAAACTTTAGATAAGGACTGCTATTTGGGCCAACTTTTGTAACCATTTGGGAATTGGAAAGTGATATCTCAGAAGATTTCTGGACCTGATCTCTAGAATAGGAAGATGAAGCCAACTCAAGGTTGACCTTGGGATCCTGTGAGCTTAGAGAGTTGTTTGCCAAATCTATGGAAGAGCATCTTTCTACCTCACGAGACTGGCTACTTTTGTCTTCTTGGGCCTCTGAATCTCCGTTCTTTTGAAGATAACCCACATCTCCTCTGCTTTTGGGCCCAATTCTTTTAGTAGCATCCAACTTCATTTTTTTACTCCTGATCACTTCCTCCACAGCCAACTTAACACTTGGTTCATCAAAATCATCCCAATGAAATTCATGAATATTTGACTCATGAATGGCTAATTCAGTAGCAGCACCATCCGTGACTTCCCTTGCCGAAGTCTCATTAAGCTGCTTGACATATCGATCAGCAAGCAGATTACAAAGACTCATAAGAGCTCTTCTCACTGAACCGCTTTGTCTTAAGATCGCCATTCTTCTTCTGCAAGTGTCTGGGGGTGCAGGTAAATCAGGTATAGTTGTCCAGTCAACACGATTAAATTTTGCACCCAAAGCCACACGGTACCTTGCATACTGGATCACCAAGCGCCTGTTTTGCATAAGGGAATCATTTTAATTTTGAAAATTACATGTATCACATTGGTGACCCCCACATAAATAGAAAGGGAACTGCAATTGAATGCCAATTCTTCTTACCTATCTGATCCATCTGACCATTGAAATTTCTTTTTGCGTGATGATTTCAGCTTTGAATGGGTAAACTGATTGATAAAAGTACCCATATCCTCATCTTCATTGATAGAATTATCAATCCTGTATTCATCATGATCATGTGGAAAAGCATGACTGAAGTTTTGAATTGTTTGGTTCTCTGCATCTTTTTCAGATGGTGCTGAGTCATTTGATGCTAAATTGGGAAGAACCAACGGCAATCTAGACATAGTATTCTCAGAGGTTTTCTTCTTTTTAGAGGCATGAATGCCAATATCGCTTTTCATCAAATGGGACACCTTTCGTTTTGCAGATTTCCTGGAATCATGCAGAAGTGGTTGGAGACGGACTTTCCTATTCCTATCATAAGATACCCGAAGCACCTGCACCCAGCATCTGTCAGAAGAACCATGCTCACTTTTTCTTTTCTTTTCTTTTTTCTTGAAAAGTAGCAAAAGAAGAACTAAGCTTAATATGAATACCCAAAATAATAGGGGAAAAAAAAGACTTGTGAAAAAGCAAAGCGAAGGGCTAACAGGTAAAATTCTGTTGTTTAAGATTATAATGCAATATATACATCAAAAAGTTCAAGCAAATAGTGACCAGTCAATACAAATATCAGCCAATACAACAATAGGTTCCTCAAATAATATGACAAGGCAATCAAAGAACCAACAAGCTGCAGTAGATAATGAAATTACGTCTATTTTTTCATTGATACTGAAACAATTTCATATTACCATTTACCAAAACAAAAATTTAATAACTTAAAATGCAATCCTTCTGCTTGGCAGATTTTTTGCTACGTTGCATGCACACTACACACATGCACACACACAAATGCACTGGCTAAGAGTAGTCTCGTATTTGGCACAAATACACGTCAAGAAATGTTTGCTTGGTTTCTCACTTTTTACAGCTAGAGAGTTTGTGTGTTTTTGTTACTGCTAGCAATAGAACATGAGTTGCACGCTTTGTTTTAAGTCATTTGTTTTTTAAAAATAAGATGTATAATTAAAAATTATTCATAGAGATTCATGGTCATATTCTATTTTAGACTCGTGTGCCATATCAAAATTATAAAAGATACCCACGAATACTTTCTAAGAGCATTTTATAAATGTATAAATGTTTTATAATGCAGAATGGAGGTCTGAAATGTACCATGCAAAAGCTTGAAAGGGAAAAAACAGAGAAGAAATCACAACAAAACTCTCCCATCTGTATCTTTCTATCTTTCCACTTTATATATTTATTTATTTCAGTTTATTGCCTGGCTGCCATGTTCTATCCAACTAATATTGGTGATTCCACCAGTATATTTTGAATGTTTAAATTTTCCCTGAATGTTTTATAAATAGTTGTCTATTCCTGATTTCCTGTAGACATAGTCGTTTTTACTTTTTTGAGACTTAAAGGTATAAATGTGATCAAATGCATGAATTAAGGGGTAGTGTTGATAATAGATTAGGTTTTGTCTTCTTTTTTTTTTTCTCCTCCATAATTTGAGTTGAGATATAGGCTTAGTGAAAAAATTAAATAAATGGATGAGATTTTTATAAATTAGTAGATTGTGGAACCAAATAATGGGTGGCTTACATCAAAGGACCTTCTTTTTAAGAAATAACTATTTTAAGGAGCAAATTTAACTAAAGCATACTGTGAAATCATAGGTTACCTTTAAACATAGTTTGGAATACTTCCCTTTTTCTAGAAAACTCCTATATCAAAAATATTGGGTATCGGTACTTTAAAAAAGGATTATCCTTCTAAACTTTGGTTATATATTAGAAATTTGGTTTTGAATTAATAAAGAACTCATTTATAGACATGATTTCTCAAATACACAGCTAACTTCTTAAATTAAGTAAGGAAATCATTTTATGAGTTTTTAGATCTCAAATTGTCTGTAAATTAAAGAGGACGACTTATGTTTCTTTTTCTTCTCTCCCTTTTCTTTAAGTGGGCATAGTCTTATTTACGCCAAAGAGTCATATTCATTTGTGCTTTTTTAGTTTACTTGGATAGCAATAGCAAATTTTTTCTTGAGTGGCCATAGTCTAATTTAACGAAAAATCATATCCATTTGTATTAAGTTAATTTAAATGGAGAGAAATAGTGGATTTGTCTATTGTAGCAATAACTCTTGTTGAACATGGTCCTTGATTTCTCTCTACTCTCTCACTCTCTCTCTCTCTCTCTCTCTCTCTCAAAGAAGCCACATCTAAACATTTAAATTTAAGTGATTAAATAATATTTGAAACTTTTGAGAAGACAAATATGATACTTGCTCGCTAAAAGCACCAAAATGTAAGCAATATAATTTGAGAAATTACATAGCATTTGGAAATTAAAAAGGAATTAACTTTAATTTTATAGGTCAACTAAAATTTATAATTCTGAGCAATATTTCTTACTCAAGGAGAAATTAAAAAATTTACTAATAGAACAAAATTAATTCATAATTATAATATGAAACACATTTTAATTTATTAATTAAAATTTTAAGAATTTTGGGAAAAAATCTATGATAATGATGATTATGATAAATTAAAATTTTAAGAATTTGGTCTTTTAAAATTGAGTTGTGTCAGGAAACTCATACATATATGATTATTTCCCTAACGTACTCAATATTTTGGGATACTTGATACCCTATATGATTATTTCCTTAAGGTACTCAATATTTTTGGATACTTGATGCCATTACCCCACCATGTAGTAACTTTTTGTCCAAGAGTATTTTAAGTAATTAATTAAAGGTAAAGTATAAATTCTTGGTAGAAAGAGAAGCATTTATTAATTATAGTGGAGGATAACATCATCGACATAAGGTGTGATATCACCCACATGGAGCAATGAATGTTTCTTATAGAAATATCTATCCTACCGCTCCTAATGACGAAAAATGCTCTTACTCAAAATTTCAATTACCAAACAAGGGGCAATGAGTGTTAAAAAATGTTGAGTACATTAAAGAAATATTCATATGTATGAGTACCCTAACATAACATAAAATGAACTTATTTAGTTATATTTCAATTATTAAAAATTTAATTCTATGATATAAAAATTTCAACCTTTAAAAGAAAAACTAATAAAAATATGCAAATTAAAATTTACTTAAAATATAGTTTTGTATTATAAAATGAAATTTATTTCAAAGAAGTCCCTTTGAAGAAATTAGAAATTGGTAAAAAAATTATTCAAAATGATTAAAAATCTATTGTCTTTTCAGATAAAAATAATGCTAATTGACAAGAAAATAAAATTAGTAGCTCTATTTGTCTTATTAGCAATTAACGTAAATCTTCATCCATGCAATTTGTCGGACGGTAAAGGCGCTTTATTTCAACAAGATGGTGAAATTTGTGTGACAATGATCCTACAGTAGCACATTATATATTTACTCCATGTTAAAAGCTCATTTTGAGGATATTTTTATGTAAATTTTAGTTTCCATTTTTGAACGTATGGAGTATTTTTTTAAAAAAAAAGTAGGGATGATATTTTAATTTTGCAATATACAAACCCATTGTTTAAAAATTTGAGTATGTATTGAGGGAGCATCAATCGATATTATGTTTAGAATAGATAGTAATGGTTTTAATAATGTTGTAAAATAAAAGGTTCACCAAAAATGGTTTAGAAAACTACGTTTTCTACTTTTATTTTTTTTTATGCTGTTAACTTAATTTTAAATTGTGAATAGAATTCCTATTAATATGAAATTACAATTTTAATGTGTGTTAGCTTTTGAGTAACAATTTGATATCCTATATAAGTAATTACGCATTTGAATGTAATTGAGTAAAAACTTATATATTTTTAAGTAATAAATAAAATTAATTAGAAATTAAAATGAAATAACAGTAATGCCTAGGCTTTAAACAAAAATACTAATTGGGAGCTTATTAAATCAAAATGTTACTGGGATTCACAAACAATTATTAATACTCTAAAAAATAATATTTTAGTGAAATTATCGCTAATATTCCTCATAATTTGTTGAATTACAAAATACCATTTTTTTTATTTTTATGTGCATATCTATTTTTCTCGAAATTTTTCATTATATCTAAAATAACATTGTTACTATCCCATTAGAATTGTACCGTCTGCCGCTCCCTAAAGGATCTATTAGATCCACAGCTCTCCATTTCTGTAGCACTGGGTGCTACAGTTTTGTTAGAACATTGAAGTTTTTAGCACTTCATAAAAATGCAAGTATCACCAAGAGTCTCGACATGACCTTACAAAATTGTGGTGGCGTTTGCACCGTTATGGAGATCATATAACAACATTGCCTTTTGCACCACTACCAAAACGTGGCCCCTTTTTGGGTGCTTCTTCCCAAACTGGGAAGTGTCATATGCACTACAGATCTAATAGATCCGTAGAGCCTGACCTTTGTGGGCCTATTTTGGGTATAACAAAATAATTTCATAAAAACAAGTTTACATGTAAAAAATAGGGATTGTATACAATAAGGCCATTTACCATTCTTACAAGGAGGTCACTATTGCTACTGGTCATTATATGTCAAATTGGATGGATTTGGTGCGTCACAAAGTTCGACAATATTTTTTTTGAACTTTGAGTCTAGTCAATCACACTCACAACCACCCAATTTGAAATCTAACGGATAAGATTAATTGTGACATGCTTGTATTAAAAGTAAATGTTCTCTTTGAATACTTTCCCAAAAAATAAAATTTTAGATGTTTTTGTAATAACAAAAACTATAAGTGATATTAATAATAGTTTTATTAATAAGGTGATGTCATCATCACAAACAGTTAATTGAGACTCAAAGTTTGACATTTTATTTATGAGAGTACTTTCTTGCAAAGTATTAGACAATTGAAAACGTGAGTGACCCATGTATTCCCTATGCTATAAAGTAGTTATAATTTAAATTTATTTTTTTAATTAATTAAGGATGATGTCCGTATATGGCGCCCTCTTTATATTTTAGAACTATGGCACACCTCTAAAATGTGCTTGGAGAAGTAGTTCTTGTTTTTAAAAACCTTATGATAGCTTGAAAATCTATTTTTATCCCTATTTATGAAGTCTAAAATTTTAAAAATGTTACGGATCAAGAAAATCTATAAAGATCTAAAATATTCAAAATAGACGGTCCAAATAACTTGTTACAAGATGAACCATTTTTAAGACTTAAAATTCTTTTCTTTATATCCACACAACTCGAAGTCAAGATGATTGATTGGTGGATTCTCCATTATCGAAACACTCTCTTCTAGAGGATTTTTTTGGTGCACCTTACTTCAATAGTTTAAGGTTGCAACTTTATATAAATTTTTCATTAATTAATGATATTTCTCAAATATAATTTTTAATTTATAATTATAAATTTAAACTCATTTAGATTTATCAATTAAACTTTTAATAAATGTTACTTTACACTTACACTCATGTTCCACTTTTTTTTGGGTAAAAAAGTGAAAAAAAAAAAGGGTAAGTTAGGGATTTGGGCCCTACCCTTTGGTGAGAATGGAGTGTTTTTTTTTTTGGGTAAATCAGTATAAAAAAAAAAAAAGGTAAGTCAGGGATTCGGTCCCCTACCCTTTGGTGAGAATAGAGTCAGAGACTTCATCATAGGGCTAGTTGGTACTACCGCTACGGCCCCAACCCATTCTCAAGTGATAAGTCTACGGGGATTTGGGCTCATGTTCCACTTTTCATATTTTTTTATTTTTCCCCAAAATAGTTCCAAACTGCATATCGTAAAGAATCCAAACAGCACCTAACTATTAGTCCTAAATCACTTATTACAAAGACTCAAGGCAGTCCAAAACAAACCATTCCAGACCCTCATTGCAAGGACTCTAAGTGGTCTAAAACCTAGTAGTTCTACACCACTAATTGGAAGGAACCACAATGATTTGAAATTAATATTTTTTGAAAATAAATATTAAAATTAGTTTCCGATGTTTGTATTTTTTATTCAATGGTAAACTAAATTATTAACCAAATATTTCAGAATTTGATAGTTTAGAATTGTGTTCATGAATTGAAAATTATTCCAATTCATCATCATCATCATCATCAAAGCCTTTTCTCAAATATTTCGAGTCAGCTACATGAATTTCAATCTACATTATGCTCTATCAAGGGCCATACCCTCAGTAAGGCCGTAAGTCCCCATATCTTTTCTCATTACTTCCAATCATGTCTTTTGACACTACACATTGCTCTTTTTAAGCTTTATACTTGGACCAACTCGCATCTCCTAATAGGTGTTATACTAGGTCTGTGTTGCATATGGCCCGGCCACTTAAGTCTACTTTCTTTCATCTTATCGCCTATTGGAGCCACACCTAAGTTCTCCCGAATGTATTCATTTCGAATTTTATCCCTTCTTGTCTTGCCACCCATCCATCTCAACATCCTCATCTCAGCTACACTCATCCTATGGATATGTTATTTTTTGACCGCCTAATATTCCGTCCCATAAAGCAAAGCTGGTATCACAACTGTCCTATAGAACTTCCCCTTCAGCTTCATTGGTATGTGGCGATCATATAAAACTCTGGTTGCACATCTCCACTTAGTCCACCCAGCTCTAATTCTATATGCGACATCTCCCTCAATGTCTCCATTTTCTTGGATTATCGACCCAAAATACCGAAAGTGCTCTCTTTTTTGTATTTCTCAACCGTCAATCTTAACTACTCTTTCATTTATACTCCCATTATTACAAAATTATTCTAATTATAATTTTACAAAATATTTAGCTTATTAAAATAAATTTTCAGGCCAATCACGAGATTTTTGCTTCTGAAATATCATCTTTCGGCACTATTTAGAGGTATGCCTTAGTTTGATTGTTTAGAGCCTCAACCTTGTACCGACTACACCCTTAAATAAAATATTGACATTTTATTAAATCTTCGGAATAGAATTGATATCTAGTAGTACAAATCAAATTCATTTTCTATAAGTGCTTATTTAAAAGAAATTATAAAATAAATAAAATATCTTATTAATATAACAAATGATTTTATAGCATCAAAGGATATAGTCTTTTAATTTAAACATACGGGCCAGTTGGAAAAAACAAAAGGGTGCAGTTTGTATAGAGCTGAGGCTCTAACAAATCAAATTAGAGCCAACCTTCAAATAGTGTCAAGAAATATGGTTTCCAAATAGAAAATTTTTGTGGTAGCCTTAAAATATATTTTCATCTCTAATTATAAAATTTAAAGCTTCAAAAATAGTGTACATCATGCAGATCTATGAAAACTTGAAAATCTTGAAATTGTCAGTCCAAAAATACATTATAAGATGCACCATTTCCAAAACTTGAAATCCAGTTTTTTCTCATGTCCATGCATCATGATGTCAAGATGATCAATTTGATGATATTTGGGCATCAAAACTACATCTTCTAGTAAAAATTTTGAGGTAAGCTCTAATTTGATTGTTTAGATCCTGAACTCTATATAAACTTTTCCCAAAACAAAAAAGTATTTATTGACGACTTATTGATGGATGGCATTGTCAGCTTTTAGTCAAGTCATCCCCATTTAAGGCTTCCATAGGTAGTGTGGAAAGTTTGCCTTGTAATGTGGTCCCTCAGGATTACATTGTACATCAAAGGATATAGTCTTTTAATTTAAAAATACGGGGCAAGTTGGAAAAAACAAAAGGGTGCAGTTTGTATAGAGCTGAGGCTCTAACAAATCAAATTAGAGCCAACCTTCAAAGAGTGTCAAGAAATATGGTTTCCATACTGAAAATTTTTGTGGCAGCCTTAAAATATATTTTCATCTCTAATTATAAAATTTAAAGCTTCAAAAATAGTGTATATCATGCAGATCTATAAAAACTTGAAAATCTTGAAATTGTCAGTCCAAAAATACATTATAAGATGCACCATTTTCAAAACTTGAAATCCAGTTTTTTCTCATGTCCATGCATCATGATGTCAAGATGATCAATTTGATGATATTTGGGCATCAAAACTACATCTTTTAGTAAAAATTTTGAGGTAAGCTCTAATTTGATTGTTTAGATCCTGAACTCTATATAAACTTTTCCCAAAACAAAAAAGTATTTATTGACGACTTATTGATGGATGGCATTGTCAGCTTTTGGTCAAGTCATCCCCATTTAAAGCTTCCGTAGGTAGTGTGGAAAGTTTGCCTTGTAATGTGGTCCCTCGGGATTACATTGTATATATATTTCCTCAGGTTTGCTTCGTATCTTCAAATCTAAAATTGGTAAAACTCTGTTTTAAAGAGGTTGATGGCTAGGTTGAGGTTTCGATCCCCTGAACTATGGTTCTTTAAAATGGTCTTACAAAGTTTTATCCTAGACACCATGCACCTACGGGAATGTATAAGATGATTCATGTATGAATACATGTAACATATTTATAAAGTTTATATACAAAGTTTAAATATATGAAGTTTCAGAAATACAAACTCATAATACTTTGTGTGCACCACGTGGTCTCCAAATCACGTGGTACCTTATATATTATAGACAGTCTCTCTCTCTCACACACGCATGCACGCACATGTAGGCCCAAAAGGATATGGGACATGGTTCGAAATAGTGAGAACATATATGGCGACTTATGGTCTAACTAAAGGTGTAGCCCGTAATTGAGCAGAATGACGGACCAAAATTCATGTAGCCAAAATCCCAAAAGGCTCCGATGATAATGATGACGATGACGATGACAAACATCAACCACAAGTAAAAGTAATGTTGATGATTAAGAACAGGGTCTATAACTTCTAGTACCTGTTTGACTTCAAACAGTATCATATAGCTCTTCAACCGTCTGTTTTTTACTTCGGACTGTTGCGAAGTGCCCTTCCCTCACTTGAGCAGTGGAAGGACACTCCTCAAACGTCCATTGTTGATATCGACCCAGCGAGACGCTGGTAGCAGAGGTTTGAAGTCAAACAGGTAGTATGGTATAATAATATAAGTGAATGAATACCTCAGGAACAGCAGAGCCAGGAAAAACTTTCGCTGCTTCTATTGGATCTGCTGCAGAGTAACAGTACTCTAAAGTTTTCCAATATGCATCAACAGCATCTCTGTTTGAGAGGATAAAATCATGTCGGACTTGTCTTGTTTGCACATACAAATTGACCCCCAAGGATGGTTCAGCTCTTGCTAAAGGCTCTTCAATGTAAGGTCTCAGCTCGAAGGCATGGGTAAGAATAGTATATGGAACCATTTTTACAAGCTCGCCTTTATGTTCTTGGTTCACAAGTTGAAGCAGCTGCAAGAAATTGTCAATTTGAGAGGACACAAAAATGCATCTCTTAAGTGAGAAATAGGTAAAGATGAAAAAAATCTATAGACATTTGCAGACTAAGTGGTATACGATAAAAGTATCATTGACATTGTAGAATGATAAGGATGAGATGCAAATTTTAAAAATTCTGTGGACAAAACCAGCATAGGAGAGTTTCAAATAGGATTCTCATTTACCGCAAAAGCCACCTTAAACCAATCCGCCTTGAGAATTTTCATACTCATCACAAATAATAATAATAATAATAATAAACAGACTTTTGTATATTAATACAATAGAATATTGGGAGACATCCAACAACTACTAATTATACGAGACCTCAATGAAAATCTGAAGCCTAAGGAGGACAAAACATAAAAGACTAATTTAACCAAGAATTCACATCCCCAAAACTTTACGTATAATCAGCACCTCTAACAAAACCACATTCTGGATACATAAACAACTGAGTCATTATTTGAAGCTTTGCAGTTTATATTCAGTAAATCATAACAAATGAGGGTCCCACAATAAGCCTTTAGAAAAATCTTCCCAATTAAAGTTGAAGTATTACCAATTCAGAACCAGATATGGAAGTCAAAAAGAATTACAAACACTAGATTATAACAATGGGCAAGCTTTCTATGTTTCCCCTACTGCATAAAACTTATGTACTTCTCCCTATCCAACCGTCCATTCTGAATGGACGACTGAGATGGCCCCAATTACAATGTCACGTCTCTAAACTATTTTATTTTTAATTTTTTTCTACAAAATATTTTGACACCAAATTTTGGGTGTCCACTCCTATCTTAAACCCGCACTTGTAAAAAATAAAAAATAAAAATATTTTCAATAAAATACAATGACCAAAATACCCTTTTTTTAGGTGTGCCCATTGAGAATATGGCACTACCAAATTTCATATTCATACAATTTATAGAAAAAAACTAAAAATAAAATACTCTGAGGAGTCCGATCAAAGATCAAACGGTCAGTGGCTCACTTGATCTAAATTGGACGGCTGGATGGAGGGGAGGAGGGAAAGTATATATCTTCTATGTTGTAGGGGAAGTATAAAAACCTTTCCTTATAACAATATCAATTAAACAACTGGGATCATTATGCATGGTTGAGAAAGACAAGCAAATGATACCTTCAACCTGCGTAAAATATCAATAAGCCTTGAAAGGCGCCCAGTCGCTTGAGAATTCATGAGACTCTTGTACTCCTTCTCAGGAAGGTCAGAGAGGCACAACCTATGCCTGCAACTCTCAATCAGATCTTCGAATTTCTCAACAGACCCTATGACTTGTAGAAACAACTCAATAGGCATTGCTCTGACAGAAACATCCAATTCAAACAATTTGCAAGTGCTTTTAGGATCTTTGTGGTCGTTCTTGCAAGAGTACAAAGCATCATTCCAATCTGGTAAGCTACTTACATAGTCCCATAAAAAGTTATGCAACAATTTTGCACGAAACATCTTTCCAGGAACAAATCCGTTCACACGCATAGCTTCCACCCTAACAGCTTGACTATCAACAGCCACGGGCTTTGTCCTCTTAACCCCACTTAACAATGGGACCGGTTCATCACTCTTCAGTCGTTGCAATCCTTGACAACGACTTTGCATTTCAAATTCCCTTACCCTATCATGAATTTGACCCATAAGTCCAGGTTGTGATAAATCAATGGAAGGATGCAATACAACTTCAGTTGTACGACTACGTTTACAGTTAGTTACCACAGGTATGGCAACAGTTATACATTTGCACTGCCCCTTTTCCTGAAGCTTTTTCAAAGAACGAGTTAGAGTCTTCCTGGCCATTGTTGTGCTTTTCTCCTCCTTTTCAAGACCCCCAAGCCACTTGTGAAGTTCAGCTGTCGGAATAAATTTTTCAACCTGCCAGAGACAACACCAAACAGGTATCAAAACTCTAAGTAGACGAAGATAACAATAGGATTATCACATTTGCTAAAAGGTGCATCTTAATAACAACTCCAGAAAGAGAGAAACCATGTTCCTCTAATTTGAAATTTGAATAAAAAAAATTTTGGCAAACCCAAAGGCCATGTGCTCAGAATAATCTTCGTAACTGGAATCTATACAAAAACACAAGCATGATAAACCTTATAAAAAGTTTCTTCGAAGGCATAGGTAAATAAATAGTCTTCTTTCCAAGGTCCCATCTGTGAAAAATATTCATCTTTCACACTTCAGTTGCAGTATATCAGAGGCAAACAGACACAATGTGTCATGGATCATTTGAACTTGTAGCAGCCTTTTGATCACCTTAACTCTGAACAGATCACCCTCACTCTACTATCTTCATAAATCTACCCATGCATGCTGAAAAATTAGCCCATTCCAAACCCCAACCCCAACCCCAAATAGGATTCACACAAGCCAAATGAAGCCCCATTAAACAAGTAGTGACCTCCCACAAGATCCCATTTTTATGTTAAACTTCCCTGAAGTCACCAGTACTTGGTCAAAAGTATCGAGAATTATGAAGACTTTTGTGTAATTGCCAAACACTACATGAAAAAGACCTTCAAATGCAGGCAACAATTCTCTTAAGTGTGGCAACGAATGGCAAAAACTTGTCTAAAAGTAAGAAAGACTTCACAATTAAGTACCTAGAAAGTGAAAAGATGTGCCAACAAGGTGGTGTTATGTGCACAATGAATAGCAAAATTGGAAGACATAGCCGATGGATGCTAAAGCTACAGACCTACTATACAATCTCAACCTTCATGAGGAGAGTTAATCACAGAATGTAACTCAATGAATGACATAAAGAAGGGTAGCTGTAGTTCAGGGATCAAGTTTTAATAGTTATCCCAGCTTCCCAAGCATGGAAGATTGTTATGATAGGGAATTCTATTTAATAGTGTCAATTTTTGTCAAAAAATAAAAAATTATCGCAAAAGCAACCCCTAATTAATAAATTCAGCAACTCCAGGATATATTTACATTCAAGATGCAAGAAAGCGAAGAAATTATGCAGGTACATTTTATATAGGTGGCTCCGGATAAGACCTTTAATCTTTCCAGTATCCTCTGTTCCCTTTGAGCACTTGCATCTGCCCTGAATGCAAGGCGTGGATATCTCTGATCAGGTCGACGCTCTGCTGATTTTGAAGAAATACAAGATGCAGTTTTTGATGCCTGATTTGATCTAACTAACTGCCTCACGACATCATCATCTCTAATATGAGCATCTCTTATCTCATGGCTTATCTGACCACCTTCACAACCGCCCGAATTCTCATGTACATCATGAAATTCAACATTTTCTGTTTTCACTATAGACATGTTATGAGTTGTGCATTCATCGCTTGGGTTGGGATACGGCATTGAGATCCTGGGAGATGCTTGCTCATGGAGAACAAGCTCCATCTGAGAATACCTAGCACCCAAATGGTCATTTCCTTCATCAATAGCTTTGTCATTAACAGGACCATCAGAACCAGGTTTCAAGTGTCTTGATGTCCAAGCTCGATATTGCATTGACCTTTTATGACTTTCATCCTGAAACTGCACTCCAAACCTACACATACTAACACGGCGATAGAGATTCTTCTTATTGTTAAGCCCAAGTCGTTTCCACATCTGTTCATCAATGTCAGAGAAGTCATTTTCAATGATTTTCAGCAAACACATCAAGATAACATTCACATACAGCATATGCAGGTTAACAAAGCCTACAGATAAATATACAAAAAGGAAAATAAAGATCCCCAATGGAACCTGAAAATCACAAGAAAATGGCCATCAGAAATCAGATACATATGACAGATTTGATAGCTCCAACAAAATGAAAAACTAAAAGGGCCCCATGCTTCCAGAATGAGAGACCCCATCGGAGATGAACATCAATGAATAAACACGGCAAAAAAAACTAGGATTTGGGAAAAAAACTCAAAAAATCAAGACAGTGCCTGGAGACCAGCATAGATCATGCAGGTGGTCCACAAATGTGATATATCAGGACAGAACCCGGACCCTCAATTTTTTTCAGGAAATAGTTATTTTACCCCAAATATATTCCCTCTTACCCCCTTGTCCAGAATATTAATTGTCAGATCCGGGGTAAATTAGCCATTTACAATAGAATCCCGTCACCAGAACTAAGTCGGTAAAACATTTTTCTTAAAATTGTGTGACCAAAATTATAAACCTGAACTCAGCAATCATACTGAGATCTAGTTGCGGGATATGCGCAACAGAATCCAGCGACCAGACAGCTGAGAACCGAGAAACATTAAAACTGGACCAAATATTGATATTAACATTAAAAAGCATCATGTAGAGGAATATGCAAACCTCTGTAACAACCAATCCCGTTGATCCTTCCGCATCAATCATATCATACATTTGATTATCAATAGGAAGCTCTACAAGTTGTTCCGAAATATGACGCTTTGATGGAAGGTTGACATCAGAATCATCACCTATAGAATGCGTCGGATTTGGCTGAAGAGCACTAGGTTTAAACTTCTTTGCTAATCGTATGCAATGAACCACCTGCAGGAAAGCAACCAAATAAATCAGAAACAATGAAAATGGTTCTTCACAATGGAGCTAATCAAGGTCCCCCCAATTCAAAAATTAAACCAGGTCTTTTGCATAGGGAAAAGAAAGTAAAACAACATGGAAAGTTAGAAAAAGTTAAGGTCAATAAAGCATCGATATTCTCCTAAAATCAAAGCGTATATAAATTAATACTTGTCAGCAAACAATGTTCTTTGGTCAGAGAATGAAGAAGTGTGCCAAGACACTCATTTAGAAAGGACATTAAAGTCGAATGTATAATGGCCACTATACCGGGATTTGAAATTCACCAGATAAAGCAAATATTACCAAATAAGTATAAAAATTGCACAGGAATTATTGGGGACAGTGCCTGCCAAATTCACTCTATTGGGAATACCGAGTCACTCATGCAATGATAAGGGATAGTTCTGGAGTATTTTGTACTTCCTAGAAACATGGACTTCATTTCTGTGACATAAAAGTAAAGGCCACTAACCACATTAGAGTACAATTACTGCATCCTAAACAAGAAGAATTCAGCATGAAATCAGGGCAAGGGAACCAAAACAAACCAGTCACACATATAACAATGTCCATGTTAGCAACATCAAAACAAGGAGCGGAAAGAAGCTACAACAGTGAGTAAGAAATAGATATGATAGAGGTATAGAACCGATGTCAAAAAAAATAAACAATACACCTTGCCATCAATTTCTGCACGGAAATCCTCCACGAGTTGAGCGCTTTTCAGCATTTTAAATATCTGTGAATGTGGTGTTAAAAAGGAGATTAGAACTCGTGCACGTGGCAGACTGGCATGCACATCAAACTTTAAAACACATCAAAAAATATATGCATCAATTTTCCAGACTATTAGGCTTACTTTACGCCATGTTCTATGCCCTTTTGAAGTCATGCGGTAACCAAGAGCCCTTTTTAGATCTGAGACAACAAGGACCTTGACAAAAGAATCTCATTTTTAATACAGAGAAGAAAGGAACATAAAAATGCAATCAAGATACCAATTATTCGACAATATCGGCATGCAACATACATTATTACTCGCTTCTTCAAGTAAATCGCAAACAGCTCTCATTGCAGGTAAATAATCCTTTATGAGCACATCGCCTTTGACACCTCCTTCAACAACTATTCCAGTCAAACTACATCCATCTGTGTTTTGAAGACCTTCTGAAGGATCTGGCCTCATAATCTCAACTTTTTGTTGGGAGCTCAAATTCAAATGCTTAGAATAACGAGATAGATGTATCAAGTTGGTATTGACAACAGCGCTAGCCTTCAGATTGTTTTCCTCCTCCATACCAGTATCCTTAGTTCTCACAACCGTTGACTGCCTCACTAACAACCCTCGGCATTCAAGACTCTTTACATCATAAAAGATTTGACTTCCATTCTTGTGAAGTTCTTTAGAGAGCTCACTCTGTGTTATTCCACTAGTTCTGCAATATAAGATCAAATGGCATTTGTAAAAACAATTAGAGGCAAAGTTTGACAAGAGTGCACTGCAAGAAGAAAAAAAAAAGGTCAGCAGTTCTTTTGTCATATGTCATATATTTTATTTAGTAATGCAGTGAAGGAATAAAGTGGGGATACATAACCAGTTTAATAAGAGGACTTGAGAAACAGGAACACTTTATACACCCACCTGACCTTTTCATCAGAGTTTTCCTAAGTGTGATGCACAAAATATGTAGTCTTGACAAACTTGCTAATCCTATGTTGCATATTAAGAACCAGAGATACCCCATGTATCTCATTAAGTCCATACAGCAAATTCTCCTGTGTATCTTTATTCGTTCAAGCGACATTGAGCTTCCAAACCTCCATTACTAAAACCTACCTCTCATCCATATAATGTGCAAGCATTTATTGCGAAAATATTTCATCTATACTGAAAATATGAAGCCCCAAATGCAAACAACATAGACCCTGTTTCTTCCTATTCCGAATGTTGTTCTTCTTCTCCTACCCTCTCTGAGGGAATTTGGAACCCACCCTATTTCTCCATATTCCTAGCTCACATGTTGCAACTGCACTTTCTTGAATACAATTACATAACCCCTTCAGTGCTCAAAAGTTAGTCCAAGCAACTTAACTTCCGTGGTTGAATTCACTAAACTAACCTCAGCCTCTTTGGCTAATAATTTTAACAATAGCTACAATTGTCAATTGAATTTATACTGGCAATGGTAAATAAAGAATTGTCTTATTTAAGTATCAAACAAATTAATGTTAACTAAGGATAATCTATCAAAAATGAGCATCCAAAGCCAATTCTACATGAGTGAAGTAACAGTAATTTAAAGGAAACCAAAATAAGGAAAATATTAAATGGACTAACCTGGCCTTGGCAAGTCTCTCGAGAATAAATCTCTGACGCGAAGAAAGGCCAGCATCCGATGCCTTATAATCATAGAGCCCCAAACAACAATCTCTAAGATGCTCTGGTGCCACAATGCTCAACCCAAGATTCTCAGATTCCTGAACTTGCTGAATGGAAGGATCATTCGAACTGAAAGACTGGCCATTAGCCTTGAACACAAGCCCGGGAATATTGAGAACACCTTTCCATATCACTTGCTTTACTCCATCACATAGATGCAGACCTACCCTAGAGAGATAAGGCTGGAGAGTAGTCCATAAATTCGCTAAGGGGCACCCAGCAGTGCCTTGGATACATATCTCTTCTAGGACTGATGAAACCATTGAATCCATGGTTATCGCTTCAAATACTTAGGGTTTGGGATAGAAAATTCGATTTCAGGGATTAGGTTTCCTGTGAAGGAGAAAATAAAATGAAGGTGAAGCCAGCACATGCTTTGGGAAAACTTTCAAGTTCCATAACACACCAATTTACCATTAGTTATAAAACATGAACTACAATACCAAAGTCAAACATAGTTCACTGCTCATGACGAACAGGCTCTCGCTTCTCCCAACCCAGTCCAAAAGGTAAACTGAAAACATCAAATGAAAAATAAGATAAACAAATAAAGATTACAGGATAGTACTCTATATCAAAGATATTAGTTGTTTTCTTTTTTTTTTTTTTTTAGTCATAGCTCATACCAGCAATAATAAAACTCAACAAATAGAACAGCCATCAAGAACATGTAGAGACAGCACCTCAATGGCAAAATGGGAACTCAACATTTTTATGAAGGCTCCTACTCTTCGCTCCACCCTTGGCCAGAAAATTCACTACTGTTAGAGCATAGTGGTTGCTAGCCATTGTAACAGCTATAACACTGCAAATCAAGCCTTCTTATGTTAGCCTTGTTCTAGAAAACCTTCATGTAACACCTTTGTAACAACACTACTCTTCTCCACTTCCAAGATGGTCATATTTCTAGAAAATAGCAGACAGCAACCAATCATTCCCCTTGCTCCCTCATAAAACTTAAATACCAAAGGATTATAGAAATAAGCAACAGAGGGAGTTCTATAAGCTAAGGCTAAGATGGCCATCTCCATCTCCTGCCCCATTGTTGAATGCCAATTAAAATTCAGTATACCCAACTAATACCATATCAAACGATATGAAACAAGAAAATAGAGAAACCCCATAGTTGATTGCCCCATCAAAATTCAATTGACCCAACTAACACCATATCAGAATATATGAAACAAGAAACATGAGAAACCTCATAGTCGATTGCCCCATCAAAATTCAATTGACCCAACTAACCCCACACTAGAAGATATGAAACAAGAAACATGAGAGAAACGTCATAGTTGATTGCCCCATCAAAATTCACTAGTCCAAACTAACCCCATATCAGAAGATATGACAAAAAAAAAAAAAGGAGGATGTTGTTATCTGAGAACTTGATATTCGCCATGGATATCATTAAGAACACCATTTTTCACAAAAAAAAAATTGAGTATGTTGTTATCTGAGAACTTGATATTCGCCATGGATATCATTAAGAACACCATTTTTCACCGACATTCTGTGTTGTATGGGCTCAATTACCATTCTCAGGTACATGCAATAGTTTCTAAAGTTGGTCAAACTATGCTATAAAGATACATACACCTTTCTAACACAGATGAGTCAAAAAGGCCAACTTAAAAATTGGCCTTCCAGGCATCATCCACACACCATTTAAAAGTGCAAGAATGAGGGTTCAGGTGGCAATAGAAAAAATACACACCATTTAAAAGTGGGGGAATGAGGGTTAGAGGTGCCAATAGAAGAAATGTCTAAGTTTTTAAAGCATCTTATAGTATTATGCCCTTGGTGTCTCAAAAAGAAACACCTAACCACACATGTCCATGTGTTAGAGGCCGATGGTAAGTGAGAATTTATAAATCTAGACCAAAACCTATGTCTCTGGTTTCAGAAATCATCAATTCATATAACCGTACCGCATACCAAGAGTCTGTCAGTGGCTGTGAAACAAAATCATATAATTCTTGATTCTCCATAAATCATTCAATGAAATTAGACAATGCTGCTAAATAATTACAGGGAAGCATCCATGATATCGCCAAGCAATAATTTCATCCATTTTACTTTTCCTCAATATCGAACAGTCTCAATTTGTCAATCTCAGTTTATCTCGAAGTACAAAAATTGGTGCCTTTTCCTCCCCATATATATTTCTTTTTAACAGAAGCAAGGATCGGATGTCACTGTAATTTGGTTGATCCTAATAACCAAAATCCCATAGCGCAAAAATTGACCAGTTTAAAATCCAGAACAAACAACCGAAAAGTTTCCCCTTCTCTAATTAATAGTTTAGCTTTTATTGTACTTCTTATAGATGTCAAGAAGATGAGATCGACCTAGATGATTTACGGAGAGGGAGAGAGAGAGAGAAAGAAGGATAAGATCGTCGGCAATAGTTCAGAGAGATGAGATCGTGGGCAATAGTTCAGAGAGATGAGATCGAGAGAAATAGCAGAGAGAGAGAGAGAGTAATAAAAGTGAGGTTTACAGAGAGAGAGAGTCTGGTAACCGAAGTGTGTGAGAGAGAGAGAGAGAGAGAGAGAGAAAGAGATTGAACCTGAGAATCGAAGGGAGATACCTCGGAGCTCAATGGCGGGTTTCTCTGGTCCTGGTGGTTTGGGTGGTGAAAGCCTCAGCTTCACGTCTAGGGTTCCAATCATGTCGCTTAACTACCACACCCTATGGAAAAAGGTTTTAGCGACTCAAGACTGTTTTCTAAAAAAATAGACTTAGAGGATCAATTTGAGTCAATTTGACTTCTAATTAACATATTAATGACTTGATTGGAAAGGAAGAGTTTTGGTGCACCCCCTGACTCTTCAATTTCAATGTGCCACCTTTCATAATCCATCTTGGAGATGGATTTTGGGTCTAAGACTTCTATCGTGTGGATCACCACGATCATAAGTTCGAGAAAATAAAGTAATTTGATTTGAACTTCAAACTTAGTGAGCTATTCATTTCAATTCTTCAACGATATATTTGGAGGTCCTAAATCATGAAAAGTGGATAATTTAGAATGGGAAAAGGTTTACATAAGGTGTTAATCTATAACTTGAGTAAGATGCACCTCAAAAATCCAACAAAAATGATATTAAAAAACTTTCGTATTGATCATCTCGACTTCGAAATTCATGGATATTGAAAAAGAATAGGGGGATTTCAAATCCTAAAAACAATGCATATCACGCATTTTCTAGGCAGTCCATTTTTGCGTATTTATAATTCTTATTCATCTGAGAACTTACAATTTTATAATTAGAGGTAGAAATAGATTTTAAGTCATCATAAGATTTTTGACACGGAAACTACATCTTCTAGTACACTTTGAAAGGCAAACCAATACCCATGGCTGGAATTTCAAAGGTTTTTATGAAGTATAATATGGAGACTTGCATGTACTTCATCAGCCAGATTATGTGTGTGGGAATGGGGGACAACTACCAGGTCACTTTTTTATTTTGGGATTGTATACAATGAGATCATTTACTTGTGGTACAAGGAGGTCACAAGTAATTATAACCATCCGATGTGAAATTTGATAGCTTAGATGTATCAATTATTTTGAAGTTTGAACTTGGTCAATGGAATAAATGTAGTTATCCAATTTCACATCTAATGGCCAAGTTAAATTATGATATTAGGTGCGCCTCACTAAGATATACACATGCTCCAAATTTCAAATCATTCCGATTTGTAGAAAAAAAATGAAAAATAAAACACTAGCAGACAATCGTGTTGTGTGATGAACTTTTAACAGTGATGAGAGTAGGTGAAATCAATGTTCATTTTAAGCTATAGGCATTGAGAAGATTTTTCCATATATATAGATATATATATATGGAAAAAGCTGGGATTAGCCCACTAACTCATATGAACCCAATGACCCATATTGAATCTGAACCGATCTGACGGTCACAACTTCATTTCATGTTTGAATTTTAATTTTTTTTATACAAATCAAAATCACTTGAATTTTAGACGTGTGTTATTCTCATCAAGGCGCACTTAATAAAAATATTAAAAAATTATTTGAGTAAAATAAAATGATCAAAATACCCCTGAAACTTTTTGGGGGTATTTTGGTCAATTTATTTCATGTAAAATATTTTTTTGATATTTTTTGAAGATCCAACTATTTTTTATGAAAAAATATTAAAATTCAAACACTACCGGATATTCGTGATAGTCAGATCGGCCCAGATTCAATCTGAGCTATTGGGCTCCTATGTTCATATGAGCTAGTGGGCTATCCCAGCTCTTTCATATATATATATATATATATATGGGCTATCCCAGCTCTTTCCTATCTAACATATATTTTTAGTTGGAGGGGATAGATGTGCCAACAAACTCACCAAAATAGATCCATAGAATAATGTGAAATTAATTGGATCGGTTAAGGGTAGGGGCATTTCTAAATTTGATGGCAAAGTGATCCACGGTATTATTAAATACGTTAAATTGAGAGGTTCAAAGTTCAAACCTAAAGCAAATTTACTAATCGTGTTGTCTATTTAAAGGTGTGTTTGTTTCGTGGATGTTGCCACTTTCACGAGCGACCTATAGAAGTTACCACTTCTAAGGGCCATATGGAAGTTATACAATAGTGGGACCACCATATGGAAGTTACCATTTCTAGGGGCTTGAAAGAACAATATCAATTCACAATATGTTTTTGGCCGCTGCTAATTCCATGTAACCCATGAAATCAGCAGCTTCAAAACTTTGTGGAAGATGGGGCTTCGGCATGGCAGCCACCTTTTCTACAAAACAAATGTTCAGTATATTGTATCACCTACATATTGCTACTTCACATGAAATTCTAGGGTGTAGATCTCTTTACGAAGTTGTCTGCAGTTCAGACTAATTCAATATTGTATTCTATTGTAGAGGAGCATCTTCTGCCTAAAGACAAAATGACCAAATACAGCTGTAAGTGATAAGGGTATTTTGGTTTTTTTAATAAAAACAATATTTTTTTATTTTTATTAGGCTTGAGAAGAAGATGGTACGTCCCAAATTTTATCTCAAGATTTGTTAAGAAAAGAATAAAATTAAAATACTCCCATTTAAGTAAGACCATACCTTTAGAAGCTTAAGTTGTCATTTTATAACTAAAGTTATCTTAGCCGTCCAATCAAATGAAATAATTGAAGAATTGCAATCGCAGATGTTTAGTACATGGGTGATGCATATGTAAAGGTTTCCCTCGTATCCTAATGGACGCAAATATTCATTCTCATATCGCTGAAACTAAGTAAAAATAGAAGCAAACATAGAGAAAAAAAAATCAGTAAGAAATATATGAAATTTTCAAAGAGGAAGGCACCACTAATCCCATCTTTCATTAACAAATAGTTAAATAAATTTATTATAAATAGCATAATTTCTCAACGCTGATCGAAGTAATAGATTGTGACAGAGAGGAAGAGGAGAGATTTAGAAGGACAAACTCAGTAACCATTTGAGAGAATATCGTTCCCCAAAGAGGTGGCCAGGTGGGTAATGGGTCGGGTCGACTAATGGACCCAACAAATCAACCTGACTGGGTTCAGTTCTAGACCTAGAAATTGGACCCAACAGGTTGGGTCCGTGTGCACCTGACCTTGACCAGACCTTTCAGGTCTGGGAAGCCAAAACCTTGCTTATGGTTCATTTAGCTATGGCTTACAACAAGGATACTGGTCAGGATTCGCTCAGGTCCCGAGTGTAAGTTAGGCAGCTCGAACTAGACCGAGCCTGAATCCCGAGAAAACATAACATATCGAAAACATCCGAGACTCAGCCGGTCCTGCCTCGGTAATCTCCTAAGTCCATGTAACTCGGATGAGTCCCAATCGAACACAGCCAAGTTTTGATGCACAGCCATTTAGTTGCTCTTAGAAACCAACCACGATGCTAGATCTATCTTACTCTTACCCTCTTCCTTGGTCTTACACATACCCCCTTTTACTACTACATGATCGCACGTTAATTGTCACCTTCTCCTCTGTAAGCTCATCTTCTCCTGTCGAATCGAGGTTGAGGAAGGGAGTTTGCGATGTTTTGGTCTTCCCACTCCAGAGCTTCCCACCACTCCCTCTCTGCAACAATGCTGCCAGATATGAAGGAGAGTTTCTTTAACTTCGGGTATTCGCAGATGTCCAACCACTCGAACAATGGCCAGTTCATGGCACGGTCACATATGATCTTCAGCTTGGGTGGCTTCGATAAAATTAACACTCCCAATCTTGGAAGTGCATCATTTTCTCCCTCCCCAACTTCCATAATCTCTTCCAATCCTTCTCATTCCCAGACACTCATGTGACGTAAATTTTTTAAGAGATGGACAACACCGTTTGGGAAGAGAATCAGCAATTTGGACATGGAGGAACCCCAAGGCATATCTGATTCAATACCATAGATCGAAGTTCCAGACCCTCTATGCTTTGAAACATGTCAGCTTTGGCATGCTCAGCCACCACCAAACTCTGCATTTCATAAGAAGAATCTATTCGTAGATGGTTTGTGACATGAATGGCGAATCGTTTCCAACACGGGCAGCATACGAGAGAAGCGTTGTATGTTCTGAAACTCTTCTAGGGCAATGAAGGCATCATCAGGAAGAAAGCAATGATCTAAGAGCAAATCCCGTACGCCCCTACGAATCTTCATAAGCCAATCCTCAGAGACCATTAACCCTATCCTGTAAACATCAATGGTGGTTAAGCAGTTCAACTCCCACATCCTCCACCAACTCTCTGTTTCGTGTGAAACTTTGCTATTTCTCAAGAGCAACTCTTCTAAATTCGGGAAACCACCAGGTACACAAGGGGGGATTTTCACAAGGGACCATGTTTCTGATAGATGTAGGTGTCTTAAATTAACCAAATTCCAGAATCCGACAGGAAGTTCTTTGATCTTCCAACAATATGGCAGGTACAGCACTTGAGGTTGCTGGAGCTCTCCAATTGTTGCTGGTAGATTCAAGCATTCCCCAGTCAGAGTACTCGGAGGTCTACCAAGTGTGACAGGGAAGATGGTAGAGATGTTACTTGTGATTTATAGAGATCAAGAACTCGAAGGGCTTGTATGCATTCAAATAAATTGTTCGGCAGGATGACCTTTAATGAAAAGTTGTCTCGAAGGAGCAACATCACAAGATTTGGGTATTCCTGAGTTAACTGGGGAAGTCGCCGAATACGAGTATCAATAATTGAAACTCTTTATAACTCTTGCTGTTTCTCATCGTCTGGCATCTTCCTCAGTCCGGATCTGGACCACACTAAGGACTGAGGCTGGTATTTAGACTCTATGGACATAATCCATCTTCCCAATTCGAGCAACATGTCATGCATCTTGACAGTATTTTCAGAATTACCACCTTATAGCATGCATGAAGTCTTGAGGCCTCCGACCAAAGCATGCACCATATTCAAGGTGGCTCGGAATTCACCAAGTCTATCTACTAATCCTTCTACAATGTAGTAATCTACGATTTCATTGATACTAATAGAGTAGTCTT